CCCCCCCTCCAACCCCTCTCCCACCAATTTTTTTCTTCTTAAATTGTTGTCGTGTTTATTTTATTTTATTACTAAGAATTGTGGTGTGATAGATAAGATCTCTCTACTTTTGATAAGAGATCTTGAGTCGACCCCTCCGAATGTTTTTTTTTTATAGAAGGCGCTTCCTTTTTTAATGGCCTTATACGACACGAATCCTGATAAACCTTAATACGGGTATTTGGTTGGAAACCAAAAGAAAATATGTTCATTTTATTTGTCTTTTTTGTTTTGCATCTTCTTGTTAAGAAAGTAGATAGTGGTTAGTTAGTGGTTAGCCAAGTAGTTAGCCAGCTGTCTAAGAGCGTAAGGACAGCTGTAAGTTAAGTTAGTTATGAGTAGTATATAACCGTGTAATTCCTCATTTGTATGTGATTAGAATGAATGGAACAATACAATTTCCATTTCCTCTCTTAGCTTCTTCTGAGAAATCCTCTGCAGTCATGGAGGTTCTCTTCATTTAACATGGTATCAGAGCCTATGAAGACGTTCAATTCACGCGGACTGCTCGAGTTTTGATCTGAGTTTCGAATCTCATCTGAGATCTATGTAATTGCTTTGATTCATTTCTCTCTAGGTTGAATCGTCCGTGAGCAATTAGGTATCATTTCTTCGTATCTGTGAAATTGCTTTCTATAAGCTCTATTTCTCTTCATCCTTCAATGGCGATCGAAGGTATTGGTGCTAGCTCAGACACTGGAGTTGAAGACGTTACTGTTGATGCAACTCCAGTAGCAAATCCAAGTCATGTGGGTGAAATGGTAATCAATCAACATCATCCTTTATTTCTTGAGCCTTCTGATACTCCAGTGTGATGACCCAAAAGGTCATCACTTGTTTTAAAACAAAGCTTCCGTGTTCTGAGGCCTTGAAAACCTCATTTAGAGTCACCTCAATTTGCGTGATAGCCGGAAAGCTTAAACATGATAATCTGTGAAAAATGATAAGTTTTGATTATAAAATGAGCTAATTTGACTTTGGTCAATGTTTTGGGTAAACGGACCCGAACCCGTGATTTGACGATCCCGGCGGGTCCGTAGGAAAATATGGGACTTGGGCGTATTCTCGAAATCGAATTCCGAGTTCCCAATCCCGAGAAATAAATTTTTAAAGGAAATTGTTTTCTGGAATTTGTTTAAAGAAATTTGAAATGAAATTTGAAATGAAATTTGATTAGAACATGATGGTATCGGGCCCGTATTTTGGTTCCGACGTCCGGTACAGGTCTTATATATGATTTAAGACATTTCTATGGAATTTGGTGAAAAACGGATGTCATGTGACGTGATTCGCACTCAAATTGCAAAATTTATGTTTAAAGAAGTTTTGAGAAAATTTCATTGATCTCGAGATTTAATTTGATGTTCATGAGGTTATTTTGATGATTTGATTACACGAGTAAGTCCATATGATATTTCTAAGTTAGTATGACATTTGGTTTGGAGCCCCGAGGACTCGGGTGAGTTTCGGGATGTTTTTACACTTAGGAAAAAAGTTGCAGATTCATAGAAGTTGCACGTCTCTGAAGCCAGGTCTCGTGGTCCGCGGTGGAAGCTTCGCGGCCGCGGTGGGGACTCCGCGACCGTGGTGGGATTTGTGCGGTCTGCGGTGAGCAAGGCCAAGCATTCGTGGCCGCGCTCGATTTCTTGCAGTCCGCGGTGGAGACCTATGCGACCGCGGTCCATTTCTTGCGGTCCACACAGGGCACTGAACCGCAGTACCTCAGAAAGGCCTGTGCGGCCCACACAGGGGGTCTGAGAGAGGTATAAATAGAGGGTATTTCCAGTTATTTTCATTTTTCAAAACCCAAAAAATATAAGAGGTGATTTTTCAAACAACCTTTCTTCTCCAAATCAATTGTAAGTCATTTTTAACTAGTTTTCTTCAATCATTAACATCTTTTAACATGATTTCAACTTCAAATCAATTATTTTCATGGTGGAATTGGGAATTTTGGGTAAAACCTAAGAATATTGAAATTTGGGGATTTAAACCTCAAATTGAGGTCGGATTCCAAAACCAATTATATATCCGGGCTCGGGGGTAAATGGGTAATCGGGTTTTGCTCTGAATTTCGGGTTTGGACCAAGCGGGCCCGGGGTCGATTCTTGACTTTTTGGGAAAATCTTTATAAAACCTATTTTCATGCATTAGAATTGATTCATCTAGCATTTATTGATGTCGTTAAGTAAATTGTGGTTAGATACAAGCAAGTTGGTGGTGGAAACAAGAGGTAAAGCGGTAGTTGAGGCTTGAATTGTATTTGTTGCATCGAGGTAAGTGTTTAGTCTAACTTTAGCTTGAGGGATTAGGAGTTGTGTCCTATTTGCTATTTGCTTCTTGTCGAGTACGACGTATAGGCATGGTGACGAGTATCTATACGTTGGTGTAAAGCATGACCGTGAGTCTTATATTGTGGTTTTCATGATTTCATTGTATTATTCATGCCTTGGTGAAGATTTCTAATTGTTATATAAAGCTTGTGGAAAGAATTGTGACCTATGAACATTAAGGAGCGTTGGCTCAAGTTGTATAGTAAAATCGTGAAAGTACAAGTGATAATTGAACTTCTAGAGCATTGGCTCGAGTTGTGAAATGAGTTGTGAAAGAATAAGTGATAATCGAACCTCTAGAGCATTGGCTCGAGTTGTGAAGTGAATTGTGAAGTGAAATTGAGAAAGAGTTATTAAATTGTTCCCTTGCCGGGATATTGTTGCTTTGTTAATTGTCTCCCTTGCCGGGATGTTGAGATTATTGATGTTGTTCCCTTACCGAGATTTAATTGTTTAATTGTGTTCCCTTGCCGGGATTTCTATTATTATTTTGTTTATTCCCTTGTCCCTTTATTTGTGATTGTTATTTGGGTGAGGAAGGCATGAAGGGAGATGTTGTGCATTGTTTGTTATTGTGAGGAAAGAGTGTAAAGCACGAAGGGCGATGCCGTGCCGCACGACGTACAATTCTATGCCGATTCTATTGATTATATGGTGAGGAAAGAGAGTAAAAGAACGAAGGGAGATGTCGTGCATATTTTGATTATATGATTGTTTTGGTGAGAACGAGAGTAAAAGCACGAAGAGTGATGTCGTGCAAATCATTGTTTTCTGCTTCCTTGTTGATATTCTAGTTATGTTGTTTCTTTCCTTACTTGATGCCTTTAAATTCGAAACTATTATCTCCCTCACAACATGTTTTCCCCTCCCACATTGACTGGTTATTTCTGTATTTCTTTTCCGCTGAATATATATATATATATATATATATATATATGAACTGTACATGTCTATTTGGTAGTCTGGTCCTAGCCTCGTCACTACTTCGCCGAGGTTAGGCTAGATACTTACCAACACATGGGGTCGGTAGTACTGATACTACACTCTGCACTGTGTGCAGATCCAGAAGCAGTTTTCGGACAGTAGTTTGAGGGCTTCCTTCAATACACTCGGAGACCCAAGGTAGACCTGCAGGCGTCCGCAAGCCCTGGCGTCTCCCTCTATCTCTATTTCCTATTTCATTTCCTTTGTTCAGAAACAATGTATTGTATTTCTTCAGACCTTGTATGTAGTAACTCTTAGACAGTTTGTGACACTGTGACACCAGGTTTTAGGTATTTGAGGTTTTTAAAAGTTGTAATAAACGTAGCCTTAATATATATAATTGTCGACTTCCGCTTATTTATTTAAAATTTCGCTTTTATCATATTATCGGCTTGTGTTTGTTAAAAGAGGCAAAATGAAAGTGTAGCAAGTATTTAAGGTTTGGCTTGCCTAGCTCCCATTAGTAGGCGCCATCACGACTCCCGAGGGTGGGAAATCCGGGTCATGACATCCAGGTAGTTCTCTCATTTCAATCAAAGTAACTGGACATAATAACTATGCTATGTGGAGCAACTCTATGCGTATCAGTCTATTAGGCACGAGTAAATTAGGTTTTGTTGATGGTAGATACACTAAGGACAAATTTCCTCCTGTTTTACATGATTTGTGGGAAAAATGTAATGTCATAGTTTTGTCATGGATCATGAACTCTGTTAGTAATGAACTGTTAAGAGGCATGGTGTATGCAACTAGTGCACAGAAAGTGTGGGTTGATCTTAGAGAGAGCTTTGACAAGGTTAATGGATCTAGAATTCTGTTTCTGCACAGACAAATTGCTACCTTGTCTCAAGGCATCTCCTCTATGTCAGTATACTTTGCTAAGCTAAAAGAACTTTGGGTAGAGTTTTATGCATTGATGCCTTGCCCTGGATGTGGTTGTGAGGAATCGAAGAGATATGCTGAACATTTTGGTAATCACAGGTTGTTGCAGTTTCTGATGGGTTTAAATGAGACTTACTCACAATCTAGTAATCAAAATATGATGATGAGTCCTACTCCAATTTATAAACAAATCTTATTCTATGATAATAGGAGAAGAAAGTAGAAGATCTGTGGTTAATTTTTCTCAAAACTTTATAGCAAAGAAGGAATAGCTATGTTTAGTGGAAAAAGAAACACTCAAGGTACAAGTAACTACAAGCCTTAAAGGAACAATTTGTTCTGTGACTACTGCAAATATAAAGGTCACACAAGGGACACTTGCTACAAGTTTCATGGCTATCCTGCAGGATTCAAGCAGAAAAGAAAGGCTGGACCTAATAATGCTACTCAATACATATGGCCTCTAACTAATAGTGGCCCCAGCAGTGGAAGCTTTGAGGCTTCAGCTAACCTTGCAGGACTCCAACAGAATAATCTTGATTCAACTAGTCAGGGTGGTCAAGGAGTGATTGCAGGAGTGCCTCAGTTCACAGTTGATCAGTACAATCAGATTTTGTATCTTTTGGGCAAATCCAATATCACAACTTCAAGTCAAAGTGATCCACAAAGTAGTGCTATGTCAGCAGGTATGACTCCATCTTTTGTAGCTACTGAGGCTGAGGTTAGGTGGATAGTTGATACAGGTGCCTCGAATCACATAGTAAAGCGTCTCAAAATCTTAGAGGAATCTAGAAGTACTGATGAAACTAGTATTGGAAAGGTTCACCTACCTACAAGAAAGATAGCAAGTGTCAAACATACAGGGTCTACAAGTGTGCTACAAGGACAGAAAATTACAAATGTGTTGCATATACCAGACTTCAAATATAACTTTCTGTCTGTCTCAAAATTAACAAAGGGGCTTAGATGTGGTTTTGTTCTATCCTGACTTCTGTCTTTTCCAGGACCTCTTCAATGGGAGAGTGAGGGGGATTGGTAAAGAAGATGAAGGCCTTTACATTTACATCTCAGGTAACAAGGATCAAACAAATGGAGGAGGAAATAACAACTCAGATTCTGGAAGATCTTTTGTAAATACAATAAATGATGATAGTTCAAGTGTATCTCTGTGGCATATGAGATTAAGTCATGTGCTAATTGATGTTCTGAGGAAGTTAAAATGTTTTCAATATTTGAAGTGTAATAGTGAGACTAAGCAATATACTGTCTGTCCTATTGTTAAGCAAACAAGGCTCCCATTTCCTCTTAGCACCTCTGTGGTAACTGCATGTTTTCACTTACTTCATGCTGATGTTTGGGGACCCTATAGGGTACCTACTCATGATGGGAAGAAATATTTTCTCACACTAGTAGATGATCATTCCAAGTTTACTTGGGTTCTCTTGTTGCCTTCTAAAGCTGAAGTAATTGTTGCCATCAAACAGTTTTTCACTGTGATCAAGAATGTTTACTCATGTACTGTAAAATTCTTAAGAACAGATAATGGGTGTGAGTTCTTTAACTCTCAAATGACAGAATTGCTACAGTCTTTGGGGATTGTTCATCAGAGTTCCTGTGTCTATACTCCACAGTAAAATGGAGTAGCTGAGAGGAAACACAGACACATCCTCAATGTGGCCAGGGCACTGAGATTTCAAGCAAATGTTCCATTGAGATTCTGGGAGAATGTATACTAATTGCAGTCTACATCATGAACAGACTACCAACACAGGTATTGCAGGGTAGAACTCCATTTGAACTATTGTTTGGTCACCAACCCTCTTTAGATCATATGAAAGTTTTTGGCTGTCTAGGTTATGTTACTGGTGTCAAAAGAAGTGACAAGTTCTCACCTAAAGCCTCACCAGCAGTCTTTCTTGAAGTCATGGAGGTTCTCTTCATTTAACACTTCTTTAAAAAGAAATAACTAGTGCAAGTTGTAATGCTAGAAAATTAATGATTTGTTATATTTTCCTTTTTGATAGAATAGAGAACTTAAAAACCAAATCTATTTTAGATAAACTAGGTAGGAAAAAGGGGGAAAAGAGAGAAGTAAAATAATCCTAAAAAAGAAAACAATCCTTTTAGAAAAGGATTAAATCAAGTGAAAGTCACTCACGGAGCTTATGCTAATACACTGAAACGAGAATCTATACACTACTCTATTATTTATTTATTTATTAATTATATTCTTGGTCAATATTATCTATTATTTTCTTTCAGCAGAAGATAATGAATGGATTGGATATAGTTTTCAAGCCTATTTTAAAATGAAAGAAAAAGAAATTCAGAATAGCTTAACAACTTTCTGAAATTTCAAGCCTATTTTAATCTTTGAATTGGAGTTCGTCAACAAAAGAAAATTTTATAATGTAGAGTCATAATTTTAAATTAGAATAATTCAATGTTACATCATCTCAAATTCAACATTCCATCGTACTAAATGTGAATGGAATTCAGTTCGTTGTGTTAGGTACAATCCTCTGAATACTAATAAGCCAAATATATCGATAAAAAGAAATGCAAAATAAGCATCCATTTTCTAGAAGAAATGAAACATAAGAAGGTGCAATCATAGCATTCACTAATGGTAGAAATATATATATATATATATATATT